AGACCTGACAGTGAGCCGGACGGAACCGTCGGAAACGGGAGAACAGTGGAGGAACGGGCAAGGACTGGGCCCCCTGAGGGGTCAGCCAGTCTAACCGGTATAGGTGCAGAGAGAGGAGTGAGGGTGATGCTGTCATGAAAGAAACAGCGGGAAGCACCTGAGTCAAGTGTAAAGGTGTGCAAGGCCTTCGCAAGCGCAGTACCAGGGAGAGCAGACTCACTAGCACCTAGAGCAGCAGCCTCTATACCTGGGTCGGGCGGCACACACAGGTAACAGTCACCCTCAGCACTAATAGACAAGGCATACATAGCAGCAATGATAGCATCATAGTCAAGAGCAAATATAGCAACTCCAGACCTATGCAGCTCTGCCCAGCGGGGGCGCTCGGCCTCGTCACCAAACTCTGCGCCCCGAGCGTCATCTAGGCGGGAGAAGCAGTGGTGCTGAGTGTGCGGCATCCCGCATGTCTGACCAGCACGGTCACCCGTGCGAATGACATACGAGCAGCTAACACTACCCCTAGACGCCCCACGCGAAGCAAACCACTCACGAAACTGCTGGGGCGACGGGGTCTTGCTCCGACGCTTCTGCTGCTGCCTCTAGCCACCGCCAGAACCTCCTCTCTGAACAGCTCCACCCCGACTGCCACCACTCCCGCTGTCACCACTACCGCCACTCCCACCGCTGCCACCACCGCCACCACCAAAGCCCCCACTCCCGCCACCACTCCCACCACTGCCACCACCTCCACTACCTCCACCACCCCCACTGCTGCCCCCACCACCACCCCCGCTGTCACCGCCACCACCCCTGCCACCCTTGCCCTTGCTGGTGCGGCACTTCCCACTAGCAGAAGCAGCCCCGACATCCTCAGCACCAAGGACGTCAACAGCAACAGCAGAGGCGTAGGAGGGGGCAAGAGGGGAGGGGGAACATCCCTCAAAGAAGGGTGTGTGAGGAGTGCCACGAGCGGCACCTACAGCGATTACGCTAGTCTCAGCTGCAAGGAGGTGTTGCTCGAGCAGGTTGACAGTGAGGTTTGTGGGGTCAAGTGCGAGAAAGTGGTCCCTGACAGCGCGAAGAGAGTCAGGGAGGCGGGTGACTATGAAGTAGAGAGTGATGTACATCGGGGGCGGGTTCCTGTTAAGGAACTCTGCTGGGAGGGCAGCGTGGTAGCGAGCGTTGCTAGTGCGAAGGTGGGTAACAAGGTCCTCTATTGTGGCAAAAGCGGACAGCTCGGGAAACAGGTAGGGCAGTAGAAGACGGCCTAGAGCAGCAGTGGCAGGGGAGGAGTAACGGGCGACTACAGCATTGTACAGTGCTTTAGCAGTCTTGTGCTGTCTTAAGTGAGCGCATTCGGCTAACGGCAGGTGGTTGCGAATGGCTAAGCGAGCAGCAGCGTCACGAGTAAGCCACTGTGAGCGAGTCGCACTGTTAGTTGTGGCGGGAGGGGCGAGAGAGGCTCCAGACGTGTGGTCAAACAACGAAACGCTGTCTCTAGAGTCGCTCAGTAGGTACAGCTATAAGTCGTCGAGCCACGTATCGAACTGGATCGGACGGCCCTCATGATCGAACGTGAGTATGCGGAGAGAAGCCTTAGCGGGCAGAGCAGGGTGGCGCGCTACCAGCAGAGCAGCACGCAGGCAGGGCAGGGCGGCGCACAGCTAGGCTGGCCAGCAGCAGGGCGGGCAGGAAAGGGGCGGCGAGAGGGCTGCCAGAGGGCGGTGCGCAGGCTGCAAGGGGCGGCAAGCAGGCCGCAAGGGGCGGCGAGCGGGCTGCAAGGGGCGGCGCGCGAGCTGCAGGGACCGCGAGCGGGCTGCAAGGGGCGGCGCAGCGGGCCGCAAGTGGCAGTGAGCGGGCTGCAAGGGGCGGCGCGCGGGCCGTAAGAGGGCAGCAAGTGGGCTGCAGGGGCTGCGAGTGGGGCATAGGCGGGCGGCGTGCGGGCTGCGTGCAGGCAGCAAGCGGGCTGCAGGGGCGGCGAGCGGGCCGCAGGCAAGCGGCGAGCGGGCAGCAGGGACGGCGAGGGGGCCGTGAGCAAGCGGCGAGCGGGCAGCGTAGCGGGCCGCAAGCTGGCGGCAAGCAGGCTGCAGGGGCGGCTAGTGGGCCGCGAGCATGCGGCAAGCGGGTCGCACGGGCGGTGAGCGGGCCGCAAGGGCGGCGAGCGGGCCTAGGGGCGACGGGCGGGCCGCAATAGGGCGACGCGTGGGCTGCAGGGGCGGCGCGCGGGCCGTGAGCAGGTGGCGAGCGGGCTGCAGGGCCGGCTCGTGGGCTGCTAGGGATGGCGCGACGAGCTGCTAGGGGCGACGCGACGGGCTGCTAGGGGCGACGCGACGGGCCTTTAGGGCAGGGCAATTCGTGGGGCAGCTCTGTGGTGGTCCCTAAACAAAAACCGGTCCTAGCGAAGGACCTGCTCTGAAACCATGTCAAAATAACGAACGAGAATGAATGCATTGAGCAGAAGTTGGGTACAAGTACTAACCCTAATTGGGTTGTACCCCTTATGGGCTACCCCACTATAGCCTACACAAAAGTAAGCACTATAACATTCTGACAACTAGGCGCTGCACAAGGCGCTCCTCCACCTCCTGCACTCCCGTCACCGCCACTCGTCACGCCACCTCCGCCACCTCCGCCCGCATCCTGATCGCCCCTCCTACCACTCCTACCCCTAGACCGCGAAGAAGTCGTAATAGCAGTTGCGGTCACGTCAGAAGCGGCAATGACGAGGGAGGCAGTAAAGGTGGGCAGCTGAGGGACAATGCACCTGTGAGCAGACTCAAGAACCTCAATAGTGAGCTCACTAGGGTGCTTCAGAAGAAGCGCGTCAAGAACCAAGGCAAGGCGGTCAGGGAGGCTAGTGGCAATGAAATAGATAGTAATCGCCATGAGGGGAGGGAGTAGTGCAAGCTATGCGTCAGTACAGGCAGCGCGGTAGCTAGAATCGAGTGAGCGCATGTGAGCGATCAAGTCAGCATAGCGCTCAAACGAGGCGAGGTTAGGAAACAGGAATGGGAGGAAAAGTCGACCAAGAGAGACAGTGGTGGGAGTAGCGTAGCGGGACTTGATCGCAGTCAGGAACTCACTAGCAGTGCGAACCTCAGTGAAGTGGGCCTCCTCAGACTCAGGGAGGAGGCTGCTAAGGGCGATGCAGGCCGCAGTGTCACGCGACTTCCACGCTGTCATGTTAGCACGCTGGCGTGCATAACAGTCTCTGTCTGCAGTGCTGGCGTCAGCGCCTAAGGGTGCAGGGTCGGAGGGCGCAGGAAGGTCACCAGAAGCGTGCGCCCACAGAGACTGGTCTGCCTGAACTTGACTCTCTAGGAGGCGGCACACACGCAGGAGTCAGACCGAGAACTCGAGCGGCCTACCCTCGGTGTCAAAGCGCAGGACCCTAGGGGTCACCATAGCGGAAGCGAATAGGTGGAAAGTGCTCCTGCCGAAACCCTAAACGCCTAAAGGGCCTGCGTAGGGCGTGACAGGTAGTGCGTGAGGCGCAGAGGACTGTAGGACGGTAGGGTAGGGCGCGACACGGCAGGATGGGCAGTGCGGCGCGACGGGACAGGACGGGCGCAGTGCAGCGTGGCAGGACGGGACGAGCGCAGCGCGGCACTGCGAGGGACTGGACAAAACGCGCGCGGGACGGGACAGGATATGGCGTGCGCGGGACGGGATGGGACGGGACAAGACAGGACGCATGCGGGATGGGACGGGACAGGAAGTGGCGCGACTTGGCGCTGCGCGGGACAAGACGGGACGCGGCGCGACTCGGCGCTGCGCGGGACAGGACGAGACGCGCGCGGGACGGGACGGGACGGGACGTGCGCGGGACGAGACGGGACTGGACGCGCGTGGCTCGGTGCTGCGTGGCAGGCAGGACAGGACGGGCGCGTCGCGGCGGACAGGCGCAACGCGACGGACGGGACAGGCAAGGGGGGGGGGGGGGGGGGAGGGACGCGACGCGATGGGGAAAGCGGACGCGACGCGACCAGCAGGCGCAGCAGGCGCTAGGGAACGATATGAGCGTGACTAACACTACCGGTAGGATACGGGACAAGCTCAGGCGTTACGGACGTGAGCGGGAGGAACGGGATCCCACAGGATCCGAACCTAGGTGATACCATGTCAAGAACTGAATGATTGTTTGACTAAGGTTGGTTGGGGTACATAAGCCTAACCCTAACTGCTGTACCCCATATGACACACATCACTAACGGCTACAACATTTGACAGTTAGGACCGTTCCTACTGCCTGTTACCCGTACTTACTCGACACACTGGCCCTCGCTGGCTCTGCCCCGCGCGCGCCTATTGGAATACTAAGGAAGAAGTGTCGATTAGGTCAAGGGAGGGGGTACAAGGAAAGTATCGAGATGGTTTGTACACCCCCTAAAGATAGCCCCAATGTAACCTAGAGAAATGTAAACATAAACATATATGTTTTGACACACCCCCATAGGCGAAATGGGGGATAGCCAGAGCAAGCAATGGCTCCAAGACAGGGTTTTACAGTGGGTGCGCTTATAATTGAGGATCAGCCATAAGCGCACTGCTCCAGATATTAGCGCATCCGCTTAACATAGGCCTGCACTTATAGCCAGGAACATATGGTATATCAGGGCGATTGCAATACTCTCACAACAAGCACACATTACAAGCACATGACACATGAAAGGCACGCACACATTTCAGGAACAACACATGAATGCACTCCTAATTGCTACTTATTGATGCTCCATGCAGCAGTGTCGATCCTACATCCACACGCCCTACCATACATTTCTCCAAAAAGGACCACGGCACACACCATGCACGGACGAGGCAAGGACGAGACGAGACGAGACGGGGACGAGACGGGCATGAGGCGAGGAGCGAGGCTAGGATAAGATGTAGACACCAGGCAAGCACTTTCAATATTCATGCCTCCACAGGACGAGGCGAGGATGAGGCAAGGATATGGCAAAGATCAGGAGTAGAGTTTATTAGACACTAGGCAAGGAGGTTCATGCTTCCACGGGACGAGGTGAGGACGAGAGCGCATGAGCCACAGCAGAGAGTGAAGCAGAGGAGTCCAGCCGGCCATCCCCTGCAGCTGCAGCAGCGGCGGCCACAGCAGCAGCCAGACCCATCCCACTGCGCACCACCAGGGGAGTCGGCTTGCTGCTGCGTTGCACGCCAGACCTCTGCCTTCTCAGCCCTACTCCTCCCTGCTGCTGCTGCTGTTGCTGCTGCTGTTGGTGTGTCTGGCACGCTGCTACTGGTCTGGATTGAAAGGAAGCTGAACCAAATGAGAGATCCTCTGTCTCAAACTGCTGCAGCTGCTCACAGGAGTTACCAAATGAGAGATCACCACCGTTCTGAGAGGAGCAGCTGTTGCTGTAGGTGCCACCACCATCCAGGGGTGGTTGAGGTAGGGCTGCAGCCGCAGCAGCAAGCATCCCATTTGCCCCGTTCGCACCTTGTCTACCATCAAAGAACGGCTGTGAGGGTGATTTGGAGGAGGAGGCAGCAGCAGCAGCAACGCCAGCAGCTGCTGCCCCTCCTCCTCTACCGTTTTTTGGCACCCCTCGGCCTCGGAATGTGGGTGTTTCACACTCTCTGCCGTCCATGAACGGCCCGGAGTGGGGCGCAGGCAGCACCAGCGACCCGCTGCTGCTGTTGCTGTTGCTGTTGTCTTCCAAATAAGGTGAGGCGTGTTGTGAAGGGTGTGTTTGAGGGAGTGTGGAGCGGTGAGGATGAGTGTGGCGGGACGAGGAGGATGGGTAGGAGGAGGAGGGGGGTGTTGTGAAGGCAGCGCTGTGTGCTCGTGACTTGTGCAGCATATTGACCATTGAAGGCGTCTGATGGTGAGAAACGCTGAAAAGGGAAGGGGTAGAAAGGGTAAGGGAAACAGCGTAAAGGAATATGGAGAACAAAACAGAGGAGCAGAGGGTTGAAACATCACCTGGAAAACGCACAAAAATGAAAAAAAAAAAAAAAAAAAAAAAAAAAAGAGGTATATAGTAAGAACAATAAGAGGGCATTAGGGAGGGGAAGTTGGAGTGTTGGTTTGTTGGTTCGTAAGGCAAAGAAGAGACGGGCACATTAACCAAGACACAGCAGAATAATGCTGGGTGTGTTACCATGTAGTCGAGGCCAGCTGTGCTGTCTGCTGCGGCCCCTCCCCCCCTCGTGTTGGCTCGCTGCAGCAGATGAGCTGACTGCGCAGAGAGAGCATACGCCAGACCTGCTCCCTTGTACGTCTGTGGAAAGGGAGGGGAAGAGATGGGAGAAGAGTTGGTGAGGAGACGTGAGAGTGTGAGACGTGAGAGTGTGTGTGGGCGGCAGCAGATAGTGCAGGCTGACTGCACTGAAAGTGCATACGCCAAACCTGGGAGAGGGGGAATAGGAAGTGGGAATAGGAAGTGGGAGAAAGAGGAGAAGAGCAGGAATAGGAAGTAGTATGTCTTTAAGAGGGGGAATAGGAATTGGGAGAAAGAGGAGAAGAGGAGGAAGATGTGAGGGAGTGAATGGAGGCATGCTGTGAGACGGGGCAGCAGCAGATGAGCTGACTGCACTGAGAGAGCAAAAAAAAGAAAAGATCATGATGAGACATTCTTACTAACTCAGAGAAAGTGCTGCCACCCATATGACATGTAACCGACACTCCCATTCACCTGCATGTTGCACATGCGTCTCTCTATTTCCATCAGCTCGTTTATCAAGTGCATTGACGCCTCATCCCCTTGCTGCACACGAAATTGCATGGAATAGAAGAGAGGAACGAGGCAGGGAGAGGCAAGACAGCGGGACAGGAAAGCGAGAGAGGCATGACAGTGGGAAAGGGTTGTGTAAGCTGGAGACGAGGAGGATGGAAGGATTTACATTGCTAAAAGAAATCAAACGAGGAAAAATAGGGGGGATGTGTGTGGGGAGGAAGAGGGAGGGGGAGGGGCAGGGGGAGGGTTGGGTGGGGGGGGTAAAAAAAAAAAAAAAAAAAAAAAATCTTGGACAACATACCTGCATGGCATAAGACGCTTGGATGGCTGCCACGCCTTGCTGTATGGTGCGCTGTGCTGCTGCCAGGCTACCCACCTCTGCCTGCTGCAACGCCTGGAGTAAAGAGAGACGCAGGGATGCGAGTCGGGTCCGGACAGCAGAGATGGGGACGCCGGGGACAGAGGGAGTGAGGAGAGGGAAGTGAGTGAGGAGGGAATATGGAGTAGAACGATGAAGAGACGAAGTGTGAGTGAGTGAGTGCATGACGGAGAGAGCAAGTGACAGAGTGAGTGAGTGCATGAGTGAGAGAGCGAGAGAGTGACTGAGTGCATGAGTGCATAAGTGAGAGAGCAAGTGAGAGAGTGAGTGAGAGAATGACTGCATGAGTGAGAGAGCAAGTGAGAGAGTGAGTGAGAGCATACTGCAGTGATGCATTTGGTGGCGGCAAGTCGGTTCTTCTGTCTCTCCAGGGCCAAGGGCGGAGGAGCCTTCTTCCTCTTCCTCTCCCTCGCCACCTCTGCCTTTCTCCTCCTCCCTTCTCCCCCCTGCCGTCCAGACTCCATAGCTCCTGACACTGGCGGTGACACACCATGGGACGCCCCTCCTTGCCTGCCACTGACCTGCCTGCTGCTTCCCTGCGCGCCACTGTCCCACCCGCCTGCTGCTGCGAGCGCCACCGCAAAGCTATCATGCCCGCTGCTGTGCGCCCCATACTCCCCTTCCTCCTGCCCATGCTGTTCATCATACCACTCTCCTTCTGCACCCTCCTCCCACATGCGCCCTTCTTCCTTCCACCCTTCCTCCACCTCCTCTCCCTCCTCCTCATCCTCCTCCTCCTGATCCTCCGCTCGTGCTACGGCCAGCTCTACCAGCGGTGTACGGTGGGTATCCTGGAAGAGCGGGCCGCATCTGTAGCTGCACCGTGCTCTCAGAATGCGACACATGTCGCGCTGCGCTGCTCCTGAAGTGTCCCTCGCTCGGGATTCATCCTGCAATAGATAGGAGAGGGATGGGAGTTGAACAAATGAAAGACGGAAAGGTGAAGAGCGGGCGGCATCTGTAGCTGCACCGCCCCCGCAGAATGCGACACATGTCGCGCTGCGCTGCTCCTGCTGCTGACGTGTCTCTGGTTCGGGATTCGTCCAGCAGGAGAAATGGGAGGAGAAATGGGAGAAGGGGTTGCGTGTGTGGGCCAATATGTGTCAGGAGGACGCACTGAGAAGGAAGAGTGAGGAGGCAAGAAGGAAAATGAAAAGGACTGATGACTAATCCTTCAGTCGCGAAACTAGTAGGCATGATAGGTAATGACACAGAGCAGCATTGCCAATCAGATGACAGGTTTGTCTTTCCCCCCTCAACTTTTGAGACGTCTCAAAAGACAGCATTGCCAATCAGATGACATGTTTGTCTTACCCCCCTCAACTTTTGAGACGTCTCAAAAGACAGCATTGCCAATCAGATGACATGTTTGTCTTACCCCCCTCAACTTTTGAGACGTCTCAAAAGACAGCATTGCCAATCAGATGACATGTTTGTCTTTCCCCCCTCAACTTTTGAGACGTCTCAAAAGACAGCATTGCCAATCAGATGACATGTTTGTCTTACCCCCCTCAACTTTTGAGACGTCTCAAAAGACAGCATTGCCAATCAGATGACATGTTTGTCTTACCCCCCTCAACTTTTGAGACGTCTCAAAAGACAGCATTGCCAATCAGATGACATGTTTGTCTTACCCCCCTCAACTTTTGAGACGTCTCAAAAGACAGCATTGCCAATCAGATGACATGTTTGTCTTGCCCCCCTCAACTTTTGAGACGTCTCAAAAGACAGCATTGCCAATCAGATGACATGTTTGTCTTGCCCCCCTCAACTTTTGAGACGTCTCAAAAGACAGCATTGCCAATCAGATGACATGTTTGTCTTTCCCCCCTCAGCTTTTGAGACGTCTCAAAAGACAGCATTGCCAATCAGATGACATGTTTGTCTTACCCCCCTCAACTTTTGAGACGTCTCAAAAGACAGCATTGCCAATCAGATGACATGTTTGTCTTACCCCCCTCAACTTTTGAGACGTCTCAAAAGACAGCATTGCCAATCAGATGACATGTTTGTCTTTCCCCCCTCAACTTTTGAGACGTCTCAAAAGACAGCATTGCCAATCAGATGACATGTTTGTCTTGCCCCCCTCAACTTTTGAGACGTCTCAAAAGACAGCATTGCCAATCAGATGACATGTTTGTCTTGCCCCCCTCAACTTTTGAGACGTCTCAAAAGACAGCATTGCCAATCAGATGACATGTTTGTCTTTCCCCCCTCAGCTTTTGAGACGTCTCAAAAGACAGCATTGCCAATCAGATGACATGTTTGTCTTTCCCCCCTCAACTTTTGAGACGTCTCAAAAGACAGCATTGCCAATCAGATGACATGTTTGTCTTACCCCCCTCAACTTTTGAGACGTCTCAAAAGACAGCATTGCCAATCAGATGACATGTTTGTCTTACCCCCCTCAACTTTTGAGACGTCTCAAAAGACAGCATTGCCAATCAGATGACATGTTTGTCTTACCCCCCTCAACTTTTGAGACGTCTCAAAAGACAGCATTGCCAATCAGATGACATGTTTGTCTTGCCCCCCTCAACTTTTGAGACGTCTCAAAAGACAGCATTGCCAATCAGATGACATGTTTGTCTTGCCCCCCTCAACTTTTGAGACGTCTCAAAAGACAGCATTGCCAATCAGATGACATGTTTGTCTTTCCCCCCTCAGCTTTTGAGACGTCTCAAAAGACAGCATTGCCAATCAGATGACATGTTTGTCTTACCCCCCTCAACTTTTGAGACGTCTCAAAAGACAGCATTGCCAATCAGATGACATGTTTGTCTTACCCCCCTCAACTTTTGAGACGTCTCAAAAGACAGCATTGCCAATCAGATGACATGTTTGTCTTGCCCCCCTCAACTTTTGAGACGTCTCAAAAGACAGCATTGCCAATCAGATGACATGTTTGTCTTGCCCCCCTCAACTTTTGAGACGTCTCAAAAGACAGCATTGCCAATCAGATGACATGTTTGTCTTACCCCCCTCAACTTTTGAGACGTCTCAAAAGACAGCATTGCCAATCAGATGACATGTTTGTCTTACCCCCCTCAACTTTTGAGACGTCTCAAAAGACAGCATTGCCAATCAGATGACATGTTTGTCTTTCCCCCCTCAACTTTTGAGACGTCTCAAAAGACAGCATTGCCAATCAGATGACATGTTTGTCTTTCCCCCCTCAACTTTTGAGACGTCTCAAAAGACAGCATTGCCAATCAGATGACATGTTTGTCTTACCCCCCTCAACTTTTGAGACGTCTCAAAAGACAGCATTGCCAATCAGATGACATGTTTGTCTTACCCCCCTCAACTTTTGAGACGTCTCAAAAGACAGCATTGCCAATCAGATGACATGTTTGTCTTTCCCCCCTCAACTTTTGAGACGTCTCAAAAGACAGCATTGCCAATCAGATGACATGTTTGTCTTTCCCCCCTCAACTTTTGAGACGTCTCAAAAGACAGCATTGCCAATCAGATGACATGTTTGTCTTTCCCCCCTCAACTTTTGAGACGTCTCAAAAGACAGCATTGCCAATCAGATGACATGTTTGTCTTTCCCCCCTCAACTTTTGAGACGTCTCAAAAGACAGCATTGCCAATCAGATGACATGTTTGTCTTTCCCCCCTCAACTTTTGAGACGTCTCAAAAGACAGCATTGCCAATCAGATGACATGTTTGTCTTTCCCCCCTCAACTTTTGAGACGTCTCAAAAGACAGCATTGCCAATCAGATGACATGTTTGTCTTACCCCCCTCAACTTTTGAGACGTCTCAAAAGATAGCACACACGCCCTGCGTGAGACAAGGGGTGGGGTGGGAGAGAGGTAGGGGGTGAGGTTATGCAGTGGAAGTGGAAGGTGTGCCCGCACTCTGCTGTGAAGAGAGCATGGCCCCTCCCTGCTCTTTGACGCTCCAGGCAAATAGCACACACGCCCTGCGTGAAGGGGAGAGTGGGAGGGAAAAGGGCGGAGTAGGAGGGGGACGTAGGGGGTGAGGTTATGCAGTGGAAGTGGAAGGTGTGCCCGCACTCCACTGTGAACAGGGCGTGTCCTCTCCCTGCTCGTTGCCGCTCCAGGCAGATGGCACACACACCCTGCGTAACAGAAAAAAGTGGGAGGGGAACAATGGAAGGGGGGATTGGGTGAGGAGATGGTGTGGAAGCGGAAGGTGTGCCCGCACTCCGCTATGAAGCGAGAGCATGACCCGCACTCACCTTCATGCTGCCAGCACCGCCACCCGAGGCATCGTGTAGCACGTTGACCACCTCGCCACTGGACGACATGGACTCATCGCTGCCAAAGCTGCGGTCCAGCTGCGCCAACGCACGTGGAGACAGCGCAGGTGGCTGTGCTGACACAACCCCCCCTCCTCCTGCTCCCCCACCGAATCCTCCTCCGCCTCCGCCCAGCCCCTCCCCGCCTGCTCCCGCTACAGCTGTGGTGACTGTAACGGTGGATATGGTGCGCCTCCTGCCTCGTATGAAGCTGCTGCTGCTGCTGCTATTGACCGCGTGGGCGTTGATGCTGCCGCTCACATACCCCACGCCACTGCCACTGGCACCACCGGCAGCACCACCACCAGCAAAGGCACCACCACCACCAAAGGCACCACCACCAGCAAAGGCACTGCTACTGGCGAAGGTGCTTCCAGTGAGGCCGGACCGAGCAGCCAGGCCAGGAGACAGGCCAGCTGTCAAGCCGCCTGAGTGCGACACCAGCGACCGCTGCCGCCCGTGCGGCCTGCCGCCCATGCCGCCTGCGCCAGCTGAGCCCAGATTGCCGCCTCGTTGACCGGCGTTGACTTGTCCGGACGCGGTTTGACTGGCGGAGTGGGGGTACCCAGAGAGGCTGCTGCCCCCGCCCGGCTGCGGCTGTAGCTGCTGCTGCCGGCCAAGCAGCCCACTTCGCTCACCCACAAGCACCACGCTCTGTGACGTGCCCCGTCTCCAGCCGGGTATCGTTTGCCCCAGTGACGCCTGCCGCTGATGCTGCTGCGGCTGCTGTTGTTGTTGCTGCTGTTGCTGTTGGAAAGACTGGTGCTGGGATCGCCTGATGGGAGACCTCTCTGCTGTGCGGAACGTGCCTTCCTCTATAGTCACACTGGGCGGCAGCAGCGTGGATATCGTCGCCGCCCGGCCCCGGAAAAGCACTCCACTCCTCTCCCTCTCCTCCTCCTCCTCATCATCCTCATCATCATCTCCCTCCTCGTTAATCCCTGCCTCTCCTCGACCCTCCCCTCCACTTCCCCCTCCAGCCTGACCCAGCCCTTCTCCCTCTGCAGCGCTTCTGGACCGGCTGTGCCTGTGCCCGCCGTGGCTTATAACGGAGGATTGTGCTCCTGGGGGGGAAGCCCCACTCGGTATAGTCACAGCTGCCGCTGCTACAGCCGCAGCTGCGGCTACAGCCGTGCTTCTGGGAGGTGAGGGTCGGAGTGTTACAGAACCAATGCCGGTTACAGGGTTACCACATGCGGAAGAAACAGCAGCAGCGAGACCCTGGGAAAGGACCATCTGCTGCTGCTCCCGAGCCGCTTGGTTTGACTGCGCTGATGTCAGCGGCAACGTGCTCCGCCGAACCAACATCCTCGGGGACGTCGCCGAACCTCCTCTGGTTCGGCCTGCAAATGACGAAACCTCAGACACCCGCTCCTCCTGGAAAGATGTGACCAGGCCGGAGTTGAACACAAGACCTTTCGAATCCCAGAAACTCCCAAGATTTCTGGAGTCATTGAGCCCCTGGGGCGGGACTGTGGGATTCATTCCAAAGCTTCCTTGGGAATTCCGATCCTGGAGAGATGCGGAGGAACCAGCGGTGGGGAGGGGTGACCGGACAGCCGGAGACAAGTGCTGCAAAGGTGTGGGAGAGAGGGACGGGAGACGGACCGACACAGGGTCCAGATATGCTGAAGCTGCAGCTGATGATGCTCCTGCGGTTGCTCTGCTGACAGGACCACTTGAGATATGGCTCTGGTGAGGGCCGCTGAAGAATCCGGGAATCTGCTGCTGCTGCTGCTGCTGGCTCTGCTGTTGCTGTTGCTGCGTCTGCTGCAGGCGTGCTTGCTGGTGCGGTGAGGAGTGGGACGACGACGATTGTGACGACGCGTGCGACGACGACGACTGCGGCGACAGCTTCCTGTGGGACGACGACGACGACGACGCGGAGGAGGAGGAGGAGCCGCCGCCGCCGCCGCTGCTGCCGCCGAGCATCGCGCGGTAGAATCGCTGAAACGGCTTGCGGAACCCCGAGCTCACCGCGGATCCGCGGCTCCCCGCCGCGGCGGACGCTGCGCCGGCGCAAACCTCCATGGCGGGCGACTTGGGCGACGGTGGCGACGCCGACGCGGCTGTCGCATGGTGATGATCATCGTGCATGGCGAAAAACGCAGATTATTCGAACTATTACCTTGGTAGTAGCAGTAGAGAAAGCAGGGACAGCTGGTAGTTCCAAGGCTGCGCGCCACCACACGCTGCGTTATTAGTGTGAATCACGTTGCACGGTTACTAGCGTGAATCACGGAGAGAGTAAATATCACTGCTCGCGTCAGAGAGCAGAACGAGGCCGTTGAGTTAGTTGGTTAAGTTACGGAGCTTAATTTCCGTCCGATGGAGTCAGCGAGTCGCTGCAGCCGTCAGATAATAATCGAGACATCAGCGGGCGAGCGTCAACTGCGCCCGTCAGGGCCGTCGCGGCCGTGTCTGAGGAATCCAATTCACACAATTCTCTCAGACGGCAGTTCCAAGGTAATAAGTAGTACTATCCGTAGCGCCTGAGAGAAACGCAGGTAAGCTTTCTTCTAGTAATACCACCAGGGAAAAGCACCTCGATCGGCGGGATTGCCAGGAAGCAGCGGCAGCGGTATGATGGTGTAACTCACACGCCAATAAAACACTACGACTGATCACAAAATCGAGAGGCTCTTGGGCCAACGAGAGAGGCAGTTCAGGCTTCAGAGGAAACCGCCTTTGAGGTCTGAATTGAGGACTCTTTTAACGGAATTAAATTGAAACAACCGCCGATGCCACAACCTACTAGCACCAATGGTTCCGGTGGTGGTAATTTTAAACGTCATCGCCCATACTAATCGACATCATTCGAATCTGAACGCGTGCAAGTAGTAGAATTCTTAGTCTCTAGCCGGCGATCGTGTCGAGGTCCTGTCAAATTTTAATAGTAAGACCGTGGGGACTATTAGTAATGCATTCCGGCACACCATGGCGTAGTAACTCGGAGTGTGCAGTGGAGTGCAGTAGCCTACTGAGTATGCATTCAGGGATGCTCCTGTTCCTCCTGGTGCTGCTGCTGCTGCTGCTGTTGCTGCAGTCCGCCGCTTCGGAGCGCTCTATCTTTACTTCAACTGCTCCTGCTACTCGCGGTCTGTTTCAAAGTGGTTCCGACGGCGAGGATGCGAGCAGCCGAAGCAACAGCATCACGCGACAATAAATCAGGGCGGTCTGGGCGGTTGCGGCTGCGTGTGAGTAATTTCTACCAGCGCCAGCAGCAGAGGCCGTTCTGTAACTGCACCAGAACCTTGTCCGGCATTAAAGCACATCGTATTACTCATGGCGAGAAATGCTACTTGCTTGGATTTCTTGCAACGAGAACCCAAGATCGTCGGCAGTGGATCTGTACGACAGATTGCCGCGGGACCCGCTGTTACTATGAGACGGACGAAGGCAGAAAGGAAGCAGATAGAACTGTATCGAGCATCGGGTCAGCCTGATATCAGGGCCCTATGAACACAGCCGAGCGTGTTATTAGCTGCCTTTGAGAGTAGCTCTGGGATTTAGGGCTGGTTTCTTCCAAACCTAAGAGATGGACCCAAGCGAACCAAGGCGCAACTAAGCGCGTGCAGCAGTACAAAATCAAGCCGCCCCAAATCTTTCAAGCTTCCACACGAAACGCTGGCTTGGGCTTTTCCACGAGTGGAAGGAAGTTGCATTGTTGTAGCAGGCGTTGATGTTTCGTTTCAAGCTCACGCCCTAACGGACCAGTAGCAAGCTAGCTACCGTATTACGGAAGTCCAGACGTCTTTCAGTTGTGGAATGAAATGAGAGACTCACAGAGAAAGCGTGACTCTGTTCACCCGAACTTGAGATGCATGAAATGATACTGTAAGAGCAAGCCAAGCCAATGTGAGGCGGTTGTGGTTGGAAGAACTCGGGAATCAGGCAGACAAGGCGGTGTGGGGTGGTTTGGACGGGAGCCGAGCCAAGCTGGGAAACTCCACATCGCAGCGCGAAACGGAGAATGGTTGAATTTCTCTCGAGACGGTTGCATTTCCCCTCAAAATGCGATTTTGTCTATCCGTTACAGGTCAGCTCCGCGCATAGTTGAAAGTTACCTACACTACAGAAAAAAACACTGCTTGGTCAAATTATAGTGGAGTTGACAAACCCAGTTTGTCAACAATAACCAGTCAGGTTGTGACATTGTACGCCATCCATGGACATCAAGTTTTTTAGTCTGAAAAAAACCCTTCGGATCAAGACTAAAGTCTCAGAATAGTGATGTGTTTAGCGGAAGCGTAATAGTAAACCAATTGAACCACCTTGCACTAGTATATGAGAACAATATGACTTGATTATAGCAAAGAGATACAAGGTTTTATATTATTACAAGGAATACGAAAGCTTTAACTGTAACTGCTGTTGCGGTTCAATACAGCGACGACTCGGGTAACTGCTCAATAGCGAGTCAGCTATTTGTCCTTGCTGTCGCGCTGCCTTTGTCTAGTCAAAGGTTGCTGACCTTTGACCTTTGCTTCAACCTCCTGATGTTGTCGCCTTGTCAACCGCTTTGCTGTATCTTGGTTGACTCGGTGTTGCTTCGCTGTGGATATGCTTCATTCTTGTTATAGTGCTCGACACATCAGAAGCGTGAATTAGATGTTTCCGACCCTCCCCTTCGCTTCTGGAGTGTCATCGCCTTCGTTGCTGGTGACGTGGCCCTGTCCAGTTAGCAGCATGCAGTATTCGAACTTCTGCTTTCCGGGTTTCTTGGTCGGGTAATATGCTGCCATCTCGGATGTTGGGCAGTAAGATAGCTCGAGTCTCCCTTTCTCGATCTCGTCCTTCACGAAGAAGTCGCGCAGGGCAATGTGCTTCGTTCGGTTCGCGAACCCGCTCTTATTCGCTATGCGAATTGCAGATTGGTTGTCGCAGAAGAGGGAGAAGCTGGGTAACTGGCCCAGGTTTGTTTCTTCCAGTAGTTCGCGAAGGTATAGTCCTTCCTTGGTGGCTGAGCAGAGTGCAATGTATTCTGCTTCAGCAGAGGAGAGAGCAATTAGTTCTTGCTTGCTCGACTGCCACGAGATAGGACCGACGAGCTCAAGTCGATAGATGTAGCCGGTGCGCGATCGCCTGTTATCAGAATCGCCTGCGTGGTCAGCATCTACGCAGCCGATTAGCTTTGGAGTAGTGGTTCCAGTCTTGTGGTAGGTTAGGCCGATCGTAGGTGTGCTGACGAGGTAGTATAACGCGCGGTCGAGTTCCGCCATATGCTATGCTTCGGGCCATTTGAGATAGGTGGCAAGCTGGCTCGCTGAGTACGACAGGTACGGTCGGCAGGTAACGGCTATGAAGAATAAGCATCCAAGTTTCCGCTGGTAGTCGTGTAGTCCGGCAGGTCCGAGCGGATTAAAATTTTCCTGGTGATTTCCGGCGGTGTAGCGATAGGGCGTGGATATGGCGGCTGGCGATAATCCAAAGCATTTGGCGATTGTGTCGGCGTATTTTGCGGCGCTGAGGTAGAT